GAGTTCTTGGCACATTACGCAATCGAGTAAAACCCGATTAAGTTCCTGTCTGTCTTTACGTACCTGTGGGCTGGATTGCGAGGTACTAGTTGTCTGTTGAAGTACCTGTGGGCTAGAGTGCCAGGTACAATTTGTCTGTGTTCAATACATGTGGACTGGAGTGCTAGGTATCTGAACGTGCTCTGGCACTGAGTTATTTTACAACGGTGCGTTGCCTTTGTATCAAGACCTCTTGTTCGACTCGCCGATCCCCCACCAGACGGGAAGGGTGGCGAGCTAGGAGCAAAAACGCTCTTTTTCCTCACTGTTCCTCTGCTGATTGCTCTTGGCCCGGTAGCAAGTGGCGAACTGTCTTTAAGTCGCATGGTTTGGATTTGGTCTTGCCAGTTGTAGTGAAGCTTTAAAACGGTTTCGTGCTACGTTCCTGCAAGAGACCAGTCTGAGGTTAAAGGCTGTTGTGCAGTTTACTGTATAGCCTCTCTAAGGAAGTCTCGCAAAGATCAGAAAGCTCCTTTCTCTGAGAAAGCAGAGAAGGGTAGAACGCAGAAATCGTATCCTGACCCGGATGGTATCCAGGCGTCAGAAGTCGGACCTCAACCACATGCAGGGCCTGCAGGCGTCGGGAGTCTGACTCCAAAGAACCTACCTGCAAGGGCTGCAGGCGCCAAGGGTCGGACGCGAACAAGTGAACAAGGAAGTCGCTGATCAACTTCAGACTGCCACTGATCTACCTTCGTCGTCCAACCTGGTCTTCTCCGTCTTTGACAGAAAAGAAGCGAAATAGCTTCCCAGTCGCAGGCTTCTCCGTCGGATCGGGCCTTGTTCTGCCACGCCGTGGACATGGCGAGGTGAGTGGGAGGGAGGAGCTGCGGGCAGCGAGAGAGAGATGAAGAATGCACAGCCGCGGGGGCGAAAAGGGTTTTCGGTCTCCAAGTACAAAGCACCCAAAGTAATTGGCTCCCACTGCAATTAAAAACCCCGTGTCCACATGTGCCTGTTGTCATCCGCTACTAAATACAAATCACTACAAGTAGTTGCCCTCCCCGCAAGTACAAACGCCCCGGTGTCCACGTGTGCGATGTGTCAGCGGTTAGGCCGATCATTGTGGTGATTGCTTGATATGGAAGGAATGACTCTCTGAACGGCCCAGACAGTCATTCCTCCCTCATGTCGTTGGTCAGCGGCACCTCCCCTTTTGCTCAGTGGTTATCACAATCATACATTGGCGACATCTTCTTGCGCCTTTCGTGCGCGGTCGTGCGTCTCCGTCCTCCGCATCTCCCGCTATCCCCTGCACCTTCATACGACATGTCTCAACCTTCCGACATCCGCGCCCAGCCTCCATCCTCCGCTCCCCATCATCCGCAATGGGCTGCACTCCCTCCAAGCCGCGCTCCGAGACCTCCGCGCGCGCGCGCGCGCCCGCGAAGCCCGCGCCGCCGCGCCCCGCCCCCGTCGCGACGCACGAGACCGCCTCCTCCGCCAGCCTGGTCGCCGGCTCGACGGCCGCCGTCGCCTTCCACGGCCTGCTCAACAGCGATGGCCTGACGCTGTCGCGCCCAGCCACGTCCGCGCTGTCCAAAGTCTCGCGCGTGCCGCGCGCGTCGTCCTCGCCGCCGCCGCTGCCGCCGCCGGAGCCGCTGACGCGCGTGGTCGGCGTCGCCATGACCATGCCGTACGTCGTCCTCGTCCCGACCGTCGCGGACGCGCCCGCCGTGCAGCGCCTCGCGGACGACGTCTTCGCCCACGCCCACACCTATCTCAACGCGTGGAACCCGGCCAGCGAGCTCACGGCCGTCAACTCGCAGAAGCCCGCCAAGCCACGCCCGCTCTCGCCGCACCTCGCCGCCCTGTTCGACGTCGTCGACCGCGCCTTCGACCTCACAGGCGGCCGCTTCGACCCCACCACTGGCGTCATCTCACGCGCGTACGAGAACTGCATCGCCGACAACGCACGCCCGCCGCTGCCGGCGGAGACGGCTCGGTACAAGCACGCCATCGGCTGGCGCAAGCGAATCTCACGCACCGCAGACACCGTCACGCGTGGCAACGCAAACACCATCGTGGATGTCGACGGCATTGCCAAGGGATTCGTGATTGACTTGCTCGTCGCCGCCCTCGTCAACGCTGGACACCCGAACTGCTACGTGGACTGGGCCGGCGATATCCGCGCGCAGGGCCACCACCCAGACGGCAGGCCGTGGCGCTCGGCCGTCATGGCCCCGCCGTCGCTGAAGCGCGTATTCGGGCACTGGAAGGACGGAACCATGGACGAGCTGCTGCGCGACGACGACGTCGCCTTCTTCGCAGACTTTGCGTTCGACCGCGCAAACGCCGGCAAGCTTGACGGCGCCGCCATCGCCACGTCGGGCGACTACTTTGCCGTGCAGCGCTACGGCTTCCACCATATCGCGCGCGCAGACACGCTGTCTGTCATGAAGGCCAACCAGATGTCGGTCGCGTCGGTGTGCGTCGCCGCGTCGACGTGCGCCATCGCCGATGCCGTCGCCACTGCGTCGATGACGTTTGACCGCCTGCCGCAGGCCGTGGCCTTTCTGCAGCAGCTCGTCGACAGCCACCCGGACACCGTGTATGGGTATTGCGCAATGGACCGCGCCGAGGCCACGTGGCCCGACGCACCCGCTAAGAGCCTCTACTCGGCAAACATCTTCAGCCCCGCCCTGCGGAGCGAGCCCAACTCCACGTCCACGAGCTCCGGCGATGAGAAGGGCCTCTCCGCCGCAGAGCGGCAGCAAGCGGTTGGTGATATTGGGCACCACACAGTGACCAACTACTACCGGTGCACGTTTGACGGGGCGGAGATTGAACTTGACAACTTTCGCGGGTGCTCCATGCAGCCGGAGCAGGTGGTCTTATTTGTGACGGATGACGACTTTTTCAAAAGGGCGTCGCTCGTCGCGGAAGACCCCCTCAACCAGGTAAGGGTGGAGCTTCTCGCGCCGCGGCTTTCGACGTCGTCATCATCATCATCCTCGTCACTGATGCTGGACGAGCGCAAGACAGGCGTCACGGCCGACTTATCGCTGAAGAACATCTCCGTCGTGGGCGGGTGCGCCGTGGTACAGGCGGTGGTAACGGCGGTGAGCCTAGGCGAGGCGGAATTCGTGCAGGCGATTTACCGAGACACGTACCTTGCCAAGCGCGCGGTGGCACTCGACGTACCGCGCTCCAAGCTGCCGTTCTACCCACTGGGCAAGCAAACCAAAACGTTGCTGCGACAGATGCCGTCGGCGATGTGGGTGGTGTCAACCAGCGCGGCCCACGGGGAGGATCTGGCGATGACGGCGACGTCCGTCACGGTGCCTGCGGCGGCGCGCGGGATGATATGCTTCAATGTGGGGCACTCGAGCGCGTTCTACGCGGGGCTCGGCGGGGTCGGGGCGGGCGTGAGGCTGTTCGCGCTTTCGACAAGGCAGAAGGACATTGCCGAGCGGTACGTGACGAGGGCTGCGTTGGGGAAGGAGGATAGGACACGGGTGGAGGAAGAGTGCATGGTGGCGGCAAGTTGCACGATTGAGCATACCGAGGATGTGCAGGACCATCACATTGTTTTGACGAAGATTGACGGCGTCAAGGTGCCGGAGAAGGACGAGGAGGGGTTGATGCCTTTGGTTTGGCAACACGGAAAGTTGATGACGTAGCGGTAGGCGCCGGGTGCTGATCTCAGCACTCTCAAGAGTCGGCCCTTGTGCGCTACAGTATTAAATTATATAAACGCTTTTTTAATTGAAACAAGGTCTTGAGCAAAGAAAAATGCAGCAACTCACAACTCAGAAATGGCCATTAGACTCGCCCCTCCCGGTGCACCGCCGTTCCCATCGCCGCCCTCTCGTTTCCCCCCCTTTCCATCCCGATCGCCTCCGCCGACGACACCCTCATCCTCACTGAAGGGAACGTCATCCAAGCCCTCGACGGTGAACAAAACACACACTCGTTCTCTCGTTCTCCCGCCATTTTTTGTACACGTACAAGTATGTGAAATGTATTGCAGAAGGGACTTCACTATACATGTATATATCACATTTCAGGAAATTTTGTCATGGAGTCTCACTGGATTTCACTTGCTCTAAATGTTAAGACATGTAGGTGTCACTGAGTGTATTCATGTCGAGCACGATGAATCATGTGATTCACAACCATACTGTTGTGCCTAACCAAGTTGTTTATTGGTGTCCAGGGGCGATGCCGATAATCCTCCCGACGCCACTGGGATCCATTTGATTCCACTCTCCGCATGACGAGAATCCACTCGACTCCTCAGGAATCCACCTGATGTCTCGTTCACGTCTTCCTTCTCGTCCAGTTCCTTCCTTGATGTCATCTATCCTACTGGCCACAACTCTACGTTGTAATTGGTCTCGAACAGCATATTACTGCCTTGCCTACTATCGAATGCAAGCGGTACTGCCTCTACGGTGTCACTCAAAAATATATATTGTTTTGGTTTTGGCTGCGGTGTCACATGCAGAGCAGAAACGGCCCCTCTCACAGCCTGCTCCGCTGCGGCAGGCTGTGAGAGGGCAAGCTGTGAGATGTGAGAGGGCAGGCTGTGGGAGGGCAGGCCGTGGGAGGGCAAGCCGTGGGAGGGCAGGCTGTGAGAGAGGTGCCGTTTGTTTTGTTCTGCCGCCGTGGCGCAGCTCCGCTGCGGCAGAACGGAACCGCTGAGCGACGCTGCACCGCTGCGGCAGAACGGAACCGCTGCGGCAGAACGGAACCGCTGCGGCAGAACGGAACCGCTGCGGCAGAACGGAACCGCTGCGGCAGAACGGAACCGCTGCGGCAGAACGGAACCGCTGCGGCAGAACGGAACCGCTGCGGCAGAACGGAACCGCTGCGGCAGAACGGAACCGCTGCGGCAGAACGGAACAAGCTGCCACGCATGCCACGCATGCCACGCATGCCACGGAGGCCACGTCTGATCTAGACCCACCTCCCGCCCATCCTCGCATCTGGATGGGCGGGATCAAGCACTGCACGTCCTACAACCGCGGGATCAAGCCAAAGGTTGCAAGGTGTTTCTGACTGTCGTACCTCCGGTGAGTGAGAATGTCCGGCGAGCAAGAATGGCCGCGGCAGGAAACAATATCGTCTCTGGCCATCCCACCGAGCACAAGGAAGGCACAAGGAAGAGTGCCTGGCCTCGGTCTACTTGACGGTTTACACCGTGTAACCACAAACAAGTGCTGATCGGATAGCCACGGCGGTATCCCGTACCCCTGTCTTCTTCCTCCCTGTTTCCAACCATCTCTTAAGAGATGGTTGGAACAGGGACACTCAACACACTTACACATTAATACACATTAATGTGTGAGTGTCCGTGCACGAGCAGTTGCCCGTGTCCAAACAACCCAAAACCTCCATTTCACACAACCTCTTCATGCTCCATCATGCTCCCCCCACCACTACCAACAAGCCACAGCCTCCCGACCACCGCCCGTCTTCGACGCTACACATGCCGTCAACCTCAACGCTAACACCGTCGTCAAGGTTTCGTTTCCTGGCGGAAACGAAGTTTCTAATACCTGACAAAGCGAAAACCACCGCAAATCCGCCGTGCATATCTTGAACTTCATACTACAACGACTGATATCGTATGTGCCTGTTCCGCCTCCAGTTTTGTTTGCTGGTCTCGCTACGCGCGGTCTCTACGTTGGACGACACTATTCCCCGCACACTGACGCAACTGCGCGCGACACATAGAAAAGATGTGCCGGCTACTTTTTTTGCGGAGAGGGGCATCGAGGCGTCGGGTAACTAGAAACAACTTCAAATACATACAAATTTCTCCTGGCACATCATTTATAACCACTACCGGTGGGGATGCTCTCAGAGCATCCCCACCGGTACGCAATCAAATCAAATCATCAAATAACAACACTTGGCACACTTTTTCTGTAATTTGATTGGCTCCCTAGAATTTGGTTGTTTCGTTATTTGGCTGTTTGATGCTTCGGAAAGAACTGCCCCACCGGTGAGAACCAAATGAAGTACATTCCCCTCGTACTCACCATCGCATCCTTGTACTCACACTCGTACTCACCCTCGTATCGCACCCTCAGTCGTAGTCGCACGCTCACTCGAAACCCATCCCGCGACCTTCTCCCTCGCCACTCTGTCTGCACTCCTTC